AGATGTCTTGTTAAAGCTTTAAAAGAAAATTAAATTATTTTTTTTAAAAAAAATAGCACAAACTTTGTCATGTCATGATTTAGACTATGTAGCACATATTGTCTAGATTTAAATAATGAAATTTATGTCTGCAATATTCATTCCTTGGTTAATTGTAAAATAAGTGTTGCATGGTATTCTATGTGTTCACCCCTGCACTTATTGTTAGCAATCTGTCCAGTACAATCAAAGAAACCGATATAGTTTCTTTGTGAGTATATTCTCTATTTACCTTCTTCTTCTTCTTCTTCTTCTTCTTCTTCTTTTTTTAAATTCCTCTTTATTTTGCTATTTAATTTTTGGGTTTAATGTGTAGGTGGTTCATGCCTCTGAATATCCTCCTCAAGTTATGTTTGTTATTTTTTTATACCCTTGTGTTGAAATGAACCTGTATGAGATATAAAATGACTATACATCACATAAGGATTTAGTTATAAGTGAACATATTCTAATTATATATTAGTCTGTATCTTAGTAAAATCATAGAAATGCATATAGAGATTAGTATCCAAACTAGGAAGTGAAAGATTGCGTCTAAGATCCTAAGCTTATAGAAGGGAGATGGAAAAGTTACCTTTGGTGTAACTCCTTGGATGTTATGTAAGGAGCTCAGGAGAAAGAGAGGAATGAGTCCCAAAAATAATAACTTGAGAGAAACAATGGTAAAGACAGTTCAATATTTCATTTTCTCATTAATTAACCTATGTTCCTTTCTCAAAATTATACAAACTTGCTCAATGGAGGTCGCAAAAATTAAAAGCTTTGTAAATTGTGCAGATGGTTTACCTCATTTCCCCCTAGCAGGCACCGACACTAAATCAGAATTACATCCATGTAAAATTGTACCATGTAGAAGCAACATAAAGATTTAAATCCCCATGATTTGATTTCAATTCTCAAAAGCCACAACTCAATTCCTTTTACAACTGTGAAGTTGAATATTTCTAGGGAAAGCTTTACCTTGTTTCAACTTCTGGAGATAATATGCTAGATGTGTCTACTCTCATATGAATGAGTACAAATGGTGTTGCGGACAAAAGCACTGCTACATGCTTAAGAGACTATCATTCCCACTGATAGCTTCAGCCTGGGTTGGACAATAAGACTGTAGTAACAGAAAGAGATTCTGAGAGAGAAGAAAAATGCATTTTCCAGTGTCCTAAATTCAATTATGAGAGAGCAAAGTGCAAGTACACCAACCCCATCCTGCAGTGCCTTCGGGAGGATTTATAAATCGATACAGAAACAAGATCGTTAGCACCAGCACTTGAAATATATATATCATTTGACCTTCATTATTGCAAGGGATTTTAGACCAAATTCCCTTCTCTGCTGGTAACCTGCTCCATTTTCAATTTAGCTAAAGATTCAAATGCTTCACTTACTTCTTTGAAGTTTTTTTTTCTTCCTGCTCAACCAAACAGCACAACCACCAAAACTAAACAAAACTATAAACAATAATCCAAATGTACCACTCTTTGATCCCCATAAGTTTATTGGTAGTGCAAATGTGCCATTCAAAATAAAAGATCTTGCATTGACTATGGCTCACAACAAACTTAATACTAATGAAATGATTCAAAAAAGAAAACCAAATTGCTATTTATATCTGCAATAGTGTGTCATGTGTAAAAGGGACAAGGAGAGTAATGATCACTTATTTTTTCATTGTCCTGCAGCATCGACACTACGGTGGAGAGTGCTAGATTTTGCGAAGGTATATGGGGTGGTACCTTCTTGTGTACAATTTTGCTTTGAATTTATGGGCATTGGTTCTAATATGAAGGCACAGGTTATTTGGAGATGTGTAATTTGTGTGGCACTTTGAATGATATTTGTTAGAGAGGAACTTAAGAATCTCTGAGGATAGCTTATGGGATAAAATTTGCTATTTGGCTTCTTTTTGGGCTTTGATGTCTCGTAGGTTCCAAGGAATTCCTTTATTTTTTATTACTAGAGATTGGATAGCCATATGTGATGTATAATTTATTGGTTTCACTCTTGTCCTTTTGGTGGACTTCTTATCCTCCATTCACGTTTTGTAACTCTCTATTTTATTAGCTTCAGTAGTCAGTCAGGTGAGCAGACATTAGCAGATCATCAAGTAGATGAATATAAATTGTGAAGCCTACAGAGCAACTGATAAGGTTGCCAAGGAAAGTTATTATGTTTACAATCAGAGAATTTGGCAGCTTGATCTATAAAACAATTTGAAGATGATGATGATGGTGAAACTCTTCTGGATCATGGTGATAGAAGATGAAAATAAAAGGACATGATTTTAGGGAATTTTCCATCAAAATGTTGTTGGTTGATCAAAATTAGCTTTCAAAGTCTTCATTTTCTATGATATTGTTCTCTCTTATCCTAAGTGTCCTAACCACCCATTAGACAAAGAATATCTTTCTTTTTATTCATTATTCCAGATCAATTCATTAGGTAAATAATTTAAGTTTAAATATCTTTTGAAACTCGTTAATTAATTTGTTGAGCTCATATTTTACTTGGCTCAATAAATTTATATACACTACATTATATATATAAAAAAATAAACTGTTCAAACTAATCTTATTTGAAACTTGTTTGAGATCTTCTCGAATGCTAAACAAACATACTCATGAATATATTTTAAAAAGGATTTAGTTATAAGTGAACATATTCTAATTATATATTAGTCTGTATCTTAGTAAAATCATAGAAATGCATATAGAGATTAGTATCCAAACTAGGAAGTGAAAGATTGCGTCTAAGATCCTAAGCTTATAGAAGGGAGATGGAAAAGTTACCTTTGGTGTAACTCCTTGGATGTTATGTAAGGAGCTCAGGAGAAAGAGAGGAATGAGTCCCAAAAATAATAACTTGAGAGAAACAATGGTAAAGACAGTTCAATATTTCATTTTCTCATTAATTAACCTATGTTCCTTTCTCAAAATTATACAAACTTGCTCAATGGAGGTCGCAAAAATTAAAAGCTTTGTAAATTGTGCAGATGGTTTACCTCATTTCCCCCTAGCAGGCACCGACACTAAATCAGAATTACATCCATGTAAAATTGTACCATGTAGAAGCAACATAAAGATTTAAATCCCCATGATTTGATTTCAATTCTCAAAAGCCACAACTCAATTCCTTTTACAACTGTGAAGTTGAATATTTCTAGGGAAAGCTTTACCTTGTTTCAACTTCTGGAGATAATATGCTAGATGTGTTTACTCTCATATTGGATTGTGCTGTATGTGTTGCAGACAAAAGCACTGCTACATGCTTAAGAGACTATCATTCCCACTGATAGCTTTAGCCTGGGTTGGACAATAAGACTGTAGTAACAGAAAGAGATTCTGAAAGAGAAGAAAAATGCAGTTTCCAGTGTCCTAAATTCAATTATGAGAGAGCAAAGTGCAAGTACACCAACCCCATCCTGCAGTGCCTTCGGGAGGATTTATAAATCGATACAGAAACAAGATCGTTAGCACCAGCACTTGAAATATATATATCATTTGACCTTCATTATTGCAAGGGATTTTAGACCAAATTCCCTTCTCAGCTGGTTATCCTCCATTTTCAATTTAGCTAAAGATTCAAATGCTTCACTTACTTCTTTGAAGTTTTTTTTTCTTCCTACTCAACCAAACAGCACAACCACCAAAACTAAATAAAACTATAAACAATGATCCAAATGTACCACTCTTTGATCCCCATAAGTTTATTGGTAGTGCAAATGTGCCATTCAAAATAAAAGATCTTGCATTGACTATGGCTCACAACAAACTTAATACTAATGAAATGATTCAAAAAAGAAAACCAAATTGCTATTTATATCTGCAATAGTGTGTCATGTGTAAAAGGGACAAGAAGAGTAATGATCACTTATTTTTTCATTGTCCTGC